AACAAGAAATAATAATTGTAATTATATCAATTAGAAAATCGCATGATAAGCAAAATTTAGTTAAATAATTATGTTAACTGAATAAAACAAGGACTAAAAAATTAATCAAATTTTAATATCACAATAAAAAGACAGAAAAAAAGTCAAAAAAATGACACCGGAAGAGTTGGATTAGTAAGAATGATAACTCATCAATGTTCTATTGACAAACTTAGATAAAAATCTTACCAAGTGGTCAATTACTTTTTCCTCGAATCATACTTCAGTACAGGTAATTTTTCATGTTGATCACGAATTTGATATGCATTTGTCTTTATACTCGATGTACTCTACAATCTAGCAGTACTAGCATATGTCCAATTGAAAACTCATTCTCTAGAGACCCTGTTTCTGTAGTTTCATCCAAGAAGGGCTTTTGCAGACAAACGCATGTTAGATTCGTGATCGGCATCAAAAACTACGTATAATAAAGTATATTTCGAGGAAAAAGTAATTGATAAGGTTCCGTCCTTCGTTAAAAGCTATCAATATTTGTCTTTTTGCACTAACATCTAAAGTATATTGTGTTATAGTTCAGTTTTTATGTGATTTTTTGGTAATATCTCTAGATTTGAATTGACAATGAGATGATAAAAAAAGTTCAAATAACGTTCGACATCAGCTTTTGTTATACGTTCATTTATTCCATGTATCCTTGGAAAATCTGAATGCATTAAATGGCAAGGTGAAAAACGATATAAATTTTTTGTTAAACTTGTATAAGATTTACTGTCGGTTCCTCCCAAAGAGAGACCCGGTAAAACGACAATTGTTCCGTTGAATGTTTGTCGAATTGTATGTTTAATTATCGAATAAGGCCAAACATGATCTCCAAAAGGAGAAATCGGACTGGGTTCTACACAAGATTTAATTTTTCCTTTAACACGTTCATCATTGATTATACGTTTATTTTGTTCAAATATTTTTTGACATGAATCAGCAGGATGTATTCGATGATTGACATTCGATTGGGCTGATGGTGGCAATGTATTCTCTTTGACACCTCCTGATATCAATGTCACAGCGATTGTTGTACGTTGTAATGCATCTATTTTAAAACAACCAGAAATGACATGTTTTCTTGACGACTTCTTTTATGTGGATGTTGAATGAAAACGCAAATATTAACGATTTTTCACTTACACCAAATTTAACAAAATAAACAACTTACTCAATGCGGGCTTTTTGGAGAATACTTTTTCAACTAAACTGCCAAATAACCATAAATTAGCCAATACGAAACGAATATACCAACTCGTATACGGTGTTATGCCATTTAGTAAATTTAATCCAGGGCCACGACCAAACTGTGATTGATACAAGTGAGCTTCTAGTTTTGCCATTGCATTTGACAATATACCGATGCTGGTAGGAGCTTATTGTATTGTTGAATGTCCACCAGCGTTATCTACACGATATT